ATGGTCAGAGGAATGAACATGAGGAAGATACAGATATTCATAAAGTTGGGTCAATGTTGGATGGGAAGAAGGAAGAAAAATAGACAATCGGAAGCCGTTTAGAACAAAAAAGAGAATAGAAAACATGAGAAGCGAAACAAGAAGACGGCTCGCGACTCAACACTAATCAGTTGGTGCTTCGGTGAGAAGAGAGAAAGGAGCTCATGAGCAAGCAGTGGTTGGTTGCCATGCTCACCTCTTCTTCCTCCCCTCTTACCGCCTGATTCGATTCAACTCTCCACCTGCGACAACTACTATCACAAACACCCCTACTTCTTTTTCTCCAGAAGAGTGAAGTTAGAAACGGGAAAAGGGAAACAAAATAGAAAAGTTGTGAGGGAAAAGTTTCGAGGACCACATGTATACACATACCCTCTCGGAAAAGGAATGTTTTCGCTGTTTATTGTTTTTTTTTTGTTTTTTTTTCCGCTACAAATCAATTTTTTCGCAAATATTGGTATTTTATGTGTTATTACTTCAAATTTTCCACATTCTTTAAATTTAATGCTGTAGAAAACTTATCTTCCGGTGTTTATCAGTTATATCTGATCATGGAGATGATTTGAAGTTAGTCGAAGAGTTCTCAAAAGAAAGAAAACAGTTTGAACGTTTACAGAAAAGGTCTTCGAGATGATAATGATTCGGAAGAATCCAGCGAAGAGAACATAGACGATGAGGATGATGGCAACAACAACAATTCATTCAATCCAGCCAATACTGCCAGTTATTCTTCGGCCGTTCCAAGCGTCCCTCCACCCATTCCAGTCAATTCATTTAGTTCTCCGCCCGTTTAGAGCGCCTCTCCACAACCCTTTATCAACTCCCATAGTTCTCCTTCGTCCGTTCCTAGTGCCTCTCCGATCTCTCCCATCAGTCCACCTAGCCCAAACAATTCATAATTAATTTTTAAACTTTTTCGGTCAAATGTAATTCGGGTTCATTTTTCGGTTAAATTTGTATTTTATTATACTGGTGTTTTGCAATAAATCTAAATTCAACTCAATTTTTCATTTTCTTCTCGTATTTTCTAACTTTTTTCTAAATAAAACAAAAAAAAGTTCAATATCTTAAATAAATCACTGTTCAATAGAGCGCGTTGAAAATAAAGTGTCGTGTCGTGTCGACACGAGTCGATACAGTATCGACATGAATCGACACGACACGCGAGTCGACGCGACACGCGAGTCGACACGACACGCGAGTCGACGCGACACGCGAGTCGACACGACACGCGAGTCGACGCGACACGCGAGTCGACACGACACGAGTCGACTCGAGTCGACACAAGTCGACTCTGTGCCGACTTGCGTCGATACGATTTTTCAGATATTTTTCACTTGTGTCGATACGACTCTGTGTCGACACGTTACTCTACATGTGACCACTAACTATAGATGTCCGGACCCCACAACGGATCACGGGCAACTGCGGACAGCCAGAATCACATCTCCCTTTTCATCATAATCTTATCTAAAACATTCTTCATCTTAGCTCCTCTCTCCTTTTTTATAGGGTCACATAAATTTATTTTTATTCCAGCTTTTTCAATTTATTTCAACTTTTTCAATTTATTTATTACCAGCCTGTTTGCCGCGCCTCCGTCGCTGCAAACAGCTGGAATTAACCTTTTTCTTTTACTGTTCGTCGCTTCGGGACTCACTCTTCTTTAAATGTCACGTCAAATCATATTTAATTTTCAAGCTTTTAAAAAATGTGTGGACAGATTGACCGACAGAGAGAGAAAGAGACGCAACTTCATTTATTTATTATAAAAATGATGATCTGCTACACAATAGAACTGCTAAAAAATAGATATGCGCAAAATCCAAGTTATAGCTTGTTCCAGATGGAAAAATTTCTGAAAAACATTTTCTAGTAGTTAATTTAGATACGTTTCAATTTAATGTCGGATATGACCCAGTTTCAAGAAAAACGAGTTCTATTTTGTAGCAGTTCTGCGTATTTTCTTGTCAATTTTTTAGAATAAAGGTTTTTTCAAGAACATGTCTCTAATTTCCAATTTTCCAGGTATGTCTAATCGAGCCATTCAATTAAAATCTCCAAAACTTGGATGTATCCCAATTCGTCCATTTCTGATTTTGGGCTCAATCCTCGGGATACTCATAACACTTTCATATCTCATTACTGGGCCACCAACAGTCAAAAACGTTATCTGTTGTGCATTGGGTGCTGCATTCAACGTCTGTCTAGTTTATGGAGCTCACAAGTACAACGACAAAGCTCTAAAATATTGCCAAATGTTTTTAATTTTCTTCATGATCATCTCGTCTCTCTCGATCTGCTTTATGCCAGTATCCGTCACGAGTTTCATTTCATCAGATTATCACAAATACTACAAAAATACAAACGCTGAAGCTTCAAATGAAGGAACCAATAAACTACTAACAAACATTTTTGGTGAGAGTACCCTCTCAGAAATCACTGGAAATATTTCACAACAAGACAGTAAAGAAGCAGCTGCGAGAAAATTCTTAGCAGGATTTATTGCGGGAGAAACAGTCGTGTTGTTCTGTATCTTTCATATATTATGTGAGTTACAAAAATACCTGAATGAAATTTTTTCTGGCTTTCAGCTTCCTATATGGAATACGTCATGATCAAGCGTCTTCGGAAGTTCATCGCAGCAAGAAAGGGACTACATGAGAATGAGACGTTGGCGTGAATTCCAGAAGTGACTTTGCCCATGACAAATATCAATTATTAAAATTCTACTAGATTCGGAAAGATAACTGATATCCTTTTAATTTTAATGTTTTTGATACTGCGTTTTTTAGGTGTTTCATTTTCTTGACATTTCTTCTAGTTCAATTTTTTTTTATTCAGAAGTCAATATTTTTGATACTGTGTTTTCTTTTTTTCTCCTTGGTATTTCTTTTCGTGTTAATTTTTGAAATTCGTCCTCAATTAATAAGTTTGAGCCTGAAAAGTGTGTTGTTCATAATTCTTGTAAGACATTCATCTTTCTTCAGTGAACGACTCTGTTTCACGATGGAAGGTCCCATCTTAGTTGATTTAAATCTGGAGTCTCTGGAGTCTGCAGCCAATGAATCGCTTGAAATTTTCGAAAAAGAATTTTTACAGGATTCGGGAAAAATACGAAATACTGTACACCTTCATTCTTACTAAACATGAAAAGAAAAATTATTATTACCATTTTTTTTCATGCGAGAGGTTACTTCGAGTACTTCTACTGTCGACGCCTTCATTTGTTTCTAATACAGCAAACTCATAGGAGAAACACACGGAAAACATGTAAAAAGTCTTATAATTCAAAGTCTTTTTTCGAAACTTCACGGAGCTAATTAGTCGTCTCGACCAGCCTTTTTAGCTTCTTCTCCAACGTCTCCTTCTGTCGACACTCTCTCATTTTAACACGCTATTTCTCACAACTATCTCATCCCTTTTTCTCTGTCTGTGTCTCTCATTTTTTCCACCCCGTAAAGGGGGACTCCGACCAAAAAATTTTATTTTATTTTTTTGTTTTAAAATGTTCTCGAAGTAAGGTATTTTATAATGCTATTACGAAAAAATTCAGAAAAAAGTCGAAATCCCTGAAAAACGCCGACAAAATTGAAGCGCCGCTCAGTTCTCGTCAACGGGGGACTAGAAAAATCATGAGTTCGGCCACGCTTCCACGCATTTTTCAATGCATATTTCGCCGTTTTCAGCCGTTTTTTTCTGTAATTTTCGTAAGAATGAAACGATTGCATTAACTATCAAATAGAGACAGCAAAAAAGTGTGTTCAATTCAAAATTCATTACACGAGCGATGGAGAAGCGACGCTGTCAGTCAGAAGAAGTAAACATTTCGTTATAGTGCCAAAATTGTCGCTCATTATCTCAATCT